ATAGTTATTCATTTTCCTGGTCCCTTATTTAAGTTTTCTAGATTCCTGCTATGAGTGAGACCATCCGGTATTTTTCTTTTTCTTTCTGGCTTATGGAAATTCCTTTTTTAAGTTAAGACTTCTGAGAGAGAAACTAAACAAAGAAAGACAAACTAAAGAAAGACAAACTTTAAGGCCAATCCTTTCAAGCGGACCACAGATCTGAGTATCCAGGAGAGGAGAGGGTGGGAGAGAAGGAAAGGAGAAATGGGGCGGTGGGGGCAGGAGTGCACAATGGGCTATGGTGGAGGACTATGAGTGCTTTGGTGTTAGAAAAACTACAGACACTACGCCTGAGGGGAGAAATCCTATAGTGTGAAAAAACAAAAAAGGATGTAAAAAATAGTGCAACACTAAAAATTAAAAAAAAAACACATTTCTGATTGCTTATGAATCAAACTGCAAGTTACCTTTCAGAATGGATGTTCTTTGTTGAAGCAGCTACTTGAGAGGAACCAAGTTTCTGAAATACATCACCTTTATCCCCACAACATTTTCCTAACAGTCAGCATCTGTGGCCCACAGAAGTGCCCAGCATTTCATGGAGCCTCAGCCACTCCAACTGGTGTCGCTAGACACCACACCCCTCTACATCTTGCTTGTACCACTAATTAAGACCTTACCTAGTTTTCTGTGCTTAGTTTCAAAAGCATGGATGAGTTATAATATTTCCCATTGTTTTTTCTAAAGTAGATGGTGGAAAAGGAAGAAGGGAGAAAAGAACAGAAAATAGAAAAAAAATGGGCTATTCTAGTTCAAAAATGCTAGAGAGTAAAGGAAATATTGATGATCAAGATGCCATGTGCTCCTTGAGTAGGTCTGCAAGCAAAAAAATTGCTATCGGGTTTCTCAAACTGATGCATATATGAAAAACTGAGTTCTTGTCAAAGCCTCGTGATGCTGAAGCTGCTCATTTAAGGGCTAAATTTTAAGAAGCAACAATCTAATGGGCATGTTGAGACTACTAGGGAAAATTGACTATATATTAGATAATATACCTGTGTTTCATTTTTTTAGTGTAGGTGATAGAACTTCATTTGTAGCAGATATCTATTAAAGTGTTTAAGAGTAAAGTATCAGGGTGCTTTTAATTTGCTTTCAATGATTCAACAATAAAATCAATTCATAAGTGTATACATAAGAAAAAAATTGGGTAAAATATTAACAATTGATAAATCTTGGTAAAAGGCATATGTGTTCACTATTGTCACTTCAACTTTTTTTTTCCTGGTTGAGAAATAAAAAAAAAAATATGAAGTGATAGATGTGCACAGACCTAGGATTGAGTCAATACATATGGCGTGAGGCCTACCAGCCTATGTTTTAACAATTCCAGAGAGTTCCATTATTGGTCATACACAGACCACATTTTGAGAACAATGTTTAGATATAGTGGAGAACATTCTTTTCTTGCTGATTTACAACCTTGAAATGGCTAGAGTCCCCAGGTTTGAAATATTATAACTTTGAGAGCTATGTTTGGTTTGCCTCAGCAGCCTCTGCCATCCCCTCATCCTTCTAATAGCATCTTTCTTTCTTAGAAGATCTTCATCCCAGTACACAATATACAGAGAGATGGACAGAGAGAATACCTACCTATCCCTTACGTTTCACAGGCAGGCTTCTGTATTAGATTTCTATGATGCCTAACAAATTACCACAAATGCAATATCTGAAAACACACATTTCCTCTCACAAATTGTATAGGTCAAGCGCCCAGGCATATTTTCATTACATCAAGATTTTAACAGGTTGCAATCAAGTGTAAATCAGAGGCCTGGCATCCCCTTCTAGAGTTCACAGACATTTGTCAGAATCCAGTCCCTTTAGCTACAAACAGGCAACAAGAGACCATCTACCATTCCCCAGCAGATGGCCCTCTCTACAACTTGGCAGCATGCTTCCTCAAGGCCAACAGAGAGTGACCCCCTGTGTCAAGAGTCTGACCATCTGTTAAAAGAATCACTCCTTAGTCCAGCCCAACCCAAGTAACCTCTCCTTTGGTTATTTCAAATGGGAGATATGCAATCTGAGTGACATCCGAAAAATTCTTTCACCTTGTCATATAATGTAATCTCATCAAGGTCTCAAGTAACCAACATATTCATAGTCCCAGCCCACACGCAAAGGGAAGGAGTATACAGACTGTGTACTCTGGGAAGTGAGACTCCTAGGGCTTTCTTACAGTCCTATCTATCCATTATATCACTTGCAATAGCCAGACTCTAAGAGGGCTCTCAATGATCTCTCCATTTCCTGGCATTCACCCTGCACAGTCCTCTCCCACAGTTGCAGGGCTGGTCTGTGCAAAGAGCAGAGTACAGCAAAAATGATATGTGACTTCTGAGATTAGGTTATAACTGGCTTCTATTTGGCTTCTCTAGCTCTCTGATCACTCCCTCTGTGGGAAGTCAGCTGCCCTGCTGTGCAAGCAGCATTGTAGAGAGAGCCACATAACAAGGAAATGAAGCCTCCCAAACAACCATGTGAATAAACTTGGGAGCAGTTTCTACAGCCCCTTTTAAATGTGTGTCACCCTAATTACGCTAGCCAAAATAAGTCAGAAGGAAAAAGATAAATATCAGATGGTCTAACTTATATGTGAAATACAGTGAAACCAAACAAAAGGTCAAGAAAAAGTCAAAACTAATAAACTGACTACAAATCTGAGGCATACAGCAAAGGAGGGTGAGGGAGTGGTTCAAAACTAGGGAAGGAAGAACACAAAGGAATATGATGATGGCTCACAGGTGATATGGTGGCTCGTGAACTATGGAGACTACGATAATGTAAGAAAAAAATTAATAAAAATGAATAAATGACTGCCACTCTAGCCAACACCTTAACTATAAACCCGTAACAGACCCTGAGCCAGAAACATCAGAAAAGTTAATTCCAGATTCCTGGCCCTTAGAAACAGAGAAGATAAATGCTTGTTTTAACCTGTGGGTTTGTGATTTTTTTTTTTATGCAGCAAAAGATAACTGATACAACTGTGGAACCAAGCTTAGCCGAGGTTTCGCCATTTTGTATATCCTCCACCTTGCTATGTTAGTCCTTGTCCAGCCGCATTCCGGAGATAGTTTCAGCAGTCACAACCCTCACTCCACTTGGTGACGAAAAAGCAGACCACCCCAGCCACCAATGAGGGCAGTCCTATCCATAAATGGGACAGCATCTCTAACTGTCCAATCAGTTTGAAACTAACCGCGCGCGCCAAAATGCCTTTGTAGTAGCCAATGAGTAATTGCCAGCTTCTTGCAAAGTTCGCGTCACTCGCGACCCAATAAGATACCCCTGCTTCCTCTGTTCGGGGCTCTCGACCTCTGCCGTTGCATCGGTGCGTGTCGAGGGCCCGGTCTCGAGCCCGTAATAAACTCCCTTTTGCGTTTGCATCAGCTGTCTTTGGATTCTTGGAGGCTATGCTCGCCGAGTCTGCTGATCTTGGGCACAACAACAACATCTCCCCAGGCCTGACTAGTGTAGGAAGAGTGAAATATGCCTACAGGGAATGGGGATTCCCCTACAACATGGGAGAAACAAATAGGCAATGAGCCCTCAAAGAGAGGCGCAGAGTTAACCCCCAGTTACTTGGTACAAAGGTGGCAGTAGTATTGCGCCTCAGCATCCAAATCAATTATGATTTAGTGCCATGACTGTTGCTTCCAGTATTGTAATCAAATGCATTCCACTTCCCCTATGTGAATTGTCTTCCAAAGCCCATATAGACCCATTGAAAACATTTTTTTCATTTTCTATCTCCAACAAGTACAATTTTATACTGATATGCAATGCAATCAGTCAAATATGACTTTGTTCATCTTTCCTTTCTCTTAGTAGCTGATTATGTTGAATTGAATCTGGTCTCTGTCACTTGTGAACAGGAGCTCTGACTCATGAAAGCCCTCTGTATGATTAGTTTCATGCCTCATGCTGGTCATTTTCTGTTCTTTTTTTTATTGTATCTTTCCCTACAAGGTATTATTGTCTGACCCTGAGCCATATGTTAGTAATGCTTTTTAGGCTCCCCAGTTAAGAAGTTCTCTTGTGTTTCTAAGGAAGTTTCTATAGAATTTTCTCCCAGGGAAGTCATAGCATGCTGAAAACACAGCAATTTGAATAAATCATCTACATTTATCCAGGGTAAATTTCCTCTATAGTGTATGGCATTTGGCTTCCTGACTTAGCTAATCACTCTCTGGGTTTTGAGCCAACTGTTCATACCGAAGTAGCCCAAGCAGTCATTGCAAAAAGAAAACACAATAAACAAATCCCACGCATGAGCCAAGCCAAGACTGAGTTCTAAGACACAGTTTTTCTACTTGTAACTCTCTGTGCAAAATAGTTTACAGAGACCCCACACTTAATTCACAATTTTGCTTCCTCCCAATTCTAGACCACAGTAGTAAGTTTACTAATTGGAAACTTTCTCGCTGAGTTTCCTTTCTCATATCATAATCTTACTGTGTTTTTCTCCTAAATACCCCAGCACCATTTCCAAAGAGACAGAAAAACAAAGCATTTCAAAATGTTTAATGTATAATCCTTAGTTAGGTAATTATATTAATGGTGTTTGCCTTTGGTTCAATACATTCAGCAGCTAAGAACTGAGCTTAAGGAGCTCAAAGGAATTGATATAAACAATAACCTCAATTTTCCCCTAAAGAATGCTCTCACTCTACCATATTGGTTAGGATCAGTGACTCTGGAAACAGATTACTTGAATTCAAAACCCAGCTTTTCCATTTAAAGTCATGTAACATTAACCAAGCTACACAAATTCTCTCTCTCAGTTTGTATCTGTGACATAGGGAAAGTAGAAATGTCCACATTGGAATCATTGTTATAAGAATCACCTTAATAATATCAGGAAAGTATTTAACATACTACCAGGAAAACAGCATGTGTTAAACAACAAGCACACTCCATAAAGACATTTGACTGGATATATCCTCACTTACCATAGCAGGTGCTCCTTAGGCTTTAGAATCATTCAGAAGAGACATCTCCATGACATCCTGTGTAGTATGGTTCTCTCTGTGGATAAAATTAGATTAAGGTGACCCTAGAGTACTAGCACTCCACATGACTTAAAAAAAAAAATATACATTTCCTTTGCAAGATATTGTACCAAGCTAAAAATTATTTCTACAACATATTTGCAAAAACAATGTCTGGAACATAATAAAAAATAACCAGACACAGAGACAACACAAAAATCTGGTGGAAATAACAAAGTAAAACTAACAAGCACTGCAGATGTTGCAGTTTTGGACATAAATAACCTACTTATGTTGTTCAAGGAGAAAAGACACTAGAGAATTTTGTTATAAAAGTGAAAACCATTAAAAAGGACCAAATAGGCATGGTAAGAATTCAAAAATAAATTAACAATTTAGGCAGCTCTCTTGCCTGCCTATGACTATGTAGGTCCTCTCATTTTCTTTCTCCCTTTTCTAGTAAATCTACCCTTTTGGATACTAAAAAAAATTTACTTTTAGACTAATTTTTTTTAAGATTTATTTATTGTTTATACAAGAACTGGGGTAAAGCCCAGAGGCATGGGAGGGTGAGAGGATTCACCAGAGACAGAGTGGGGAGCAGAACAAGCAGATGCACCAAAATACACTGCTGAGGGGAGCAGAGGGCAAGACAGGAGAGGTCTGCTGCACCATGTGGGAACCTCCCTGGCCACTCGGGAATCGAACCCTAGCTGCAGAGGCTGTGGACAGCTTCACAGCACTGCACTCAACCTGCTGCGCCACTGGGGAGGCCCTTAAACTAAGTTTATATTTGCTTCATTTAGCTTTGTTTTTTATGTATAACATATGAATGAAATCATATCGAAATTGTCTTTCTCCACTATATAATATCCCCCCTAGGTTCACCAATAAGCAACAATTCAATAGATTGATATAACTATATAGATAGTCAAAGAAAATTTGTAGCCTGCAAATAAACTGTTAAAAAAGAACTAGAATGACACAAAGCAAAAGTAAGAAACAGAGGTTACTGTGAGAAGATGCAATCTGAGTGGAACTCTAGGGTAAAAAAGAGAGTGGTTAAGAGAATGGTTTGAAGAAATAATAGACTAGAATTTTTCCAAAACTAAAAGACTTTATATAAGCACTTTATTTTTTAGAAGTCAATCTAAAGAGAAAATAACCAGTAATCTCATAGTAAAATGTTAAACACCCAAAAAAGGAAAATCTCAAAGTAGTTGGAAGTAAAAAAAAAAAGGCAGACTGCCTTCAAAAGAGCAACATTTGGACAGATAGCTGACTTTTAAACAAAGTTAACAGAAGCCAGAAGACAAAAGAGTATCTTCAAAGTGCTATAAAAGCAGCTAACACCCAACTTAGAATTATGTCTAGCAAGAATATATTTCAAGAATAAAGTGAAACAAACAATTTTAAGATCCACAAAACAGAATCTGTAACTAGTAGGTCTGCACTACTAAGGCATGTTTTCTGGCAGAAGGAACATTATACCAGGTGGAAGCCCAGATTCAGACAGGAATGAAGAGCAATGAAAAAGTGGCTAAATAATCCACATTTATACAGGGTAAATTTCCTCCACCATGCAAATTTAAATATTTATCATGGACTTATTCATATAGTAATTATTTATTTATGGATTTAATAAATTAGAAGTGTAAAATTAGGGGCAAATTTAAATAAGTAGAATGATGATGATGATATTTAAAATGTAAGTAGAATTAAAGAATAATGGCTCAAACTTTAGAGGGGTCTAAAAGGAGAAGCTAAAAGAGTTGGGATATTTCAAAAGAGTGTAAGGCCCATGAAAAGCATAAAATACCAATTAATATGGGGATTTGAGTACCAACAACATATGTCATTATCTTATGGTTAAGCAGTAAAAGAATTGCCCAAAAATATGTAATTCACAAGACAGTAGAGGGTAAAATCCAAAATAATAAAATCACACAGTAAAGGACAGCAAGAAGGAAATTTGGGAGAAAAAGGAAAAATAGGTAGAAAGCACTCAGCAAGTCAGAAAGCAAGCAATTAATACCATGTAATACCAATTGCTTGAAATTCTAACAGGTTTAGAAGACATAAACATGCAAAACTGAATAACGAAGTTCAGAATTTATACTTAGGTAGCGAAATGAAAGAAAATCAGGGAAGATCAGAGGAAGAAGCTTCCTTTGAGAGAGGGGTGGTAGAAACTTGGGGGGTACACAAAGGGTTAGGAATGTGCCATCACTTTATTAAGTAGGTGGCTACCTGATCAATTTTAATTTTGTTCTGATTCATTTAACTATTTGTATGTTTCACACTTCCTTGTATTTATTATATTTCCACAAAACATAAGTCCAAGGGAGAGCTAAATGTGCTGACATGTATAATCTCTAGAAATACATGGTTAAATCAAATAAGGCACAGAACAGCAGAAATAGTATGCTTTTGTTAGTATAATAAAGCTCACAAACTCATACCTTTTTGTATTTGCACATATTTTTTAAGGCATGTATTATTTAAACTGGCCTGCTGACTTGAAAGAGGGAGACTAGGACTCTGGAAAAATTTATGGTGGGGGGGGCGCTAATTTTCATCTACATGCTTTTTTTCACTGTGAAAATACATTTTGAATTATATTTTTAAATAAAACAAAATTTCATCAATCTATAAATCAATTATGGAAACAGGATTACCATTTAATGAAATAATTTTCAAATTAACAACTGCATTTTGAAATCTTAATTTAAATCTGGTAGTATAACCAAGAATTTTAAATCATTGCTAAATTTATTCAAAAGTTGGATAAAATTTTCAATAATCAAGAAGGGAAGAAAAGTTGCTTTTATTTTATACAGACACCCAGGAATTGATTGTCTTTCCATTTCCCTCATACAAAAGAAATAGAGATAGGTATAGATAATTCATTTTCATTTCAAGCTGTTTCTAGAATGTTGGCAAGAAGCCTTCCTATCTGCATTACAATGGAGTGGTACTAAAAATAGGAAGTAAAGTTAGAGTAAATTGAATGGCTGAATTTAAAAATCTGCCATAAATCATGAAATTATTCTTTAGGCTTTTAGTCTTATGAATAGTGGACAAGATCAGAATCAAATAATATGGATAATCTGAGTTGCTGGAGCAATTAGAATTAATGCAGTACACATTTTAGGAATTTAGCAATAAATGAAAATACCCTGTCACCAAGATGTGAAGAAGTGAGATGCCCAGAATTTGTAGGTTAGACAGCTTGAGCATAAGCTTCTAATTTTGTTTCTTTATCTCCTTAAGTCAAAATTTAGGGAAGCATTTTTTTAAAAAGAGAAATCTACAAGTCAGAAAAATAGAAGGGAAAAAAATCAGCAAAATTTTATTAGCTAGACAAAGATAGGCAAATAGGAATGACTTAGAGGATCCAAGAAAATTAATCTCTAGTCAGTGCTGCGAAGGTGAGAGTCAGCCAATTTATATTACAATATGCTCAAAAGACATGAACTGTCTTTGGAATTGGTGATGAAAGGAAAAGTAAGATCAGAAAGTCTGTGAGAGCTATTTCTTGTAGCCATCCAGGTGCGCTAGACCCTCTCTGTATGGACTGCATGGTTGTACTGCCCCAAACTTTGTAAGTTGTAACCCTATGACCCAAAGTGGGGGGCCCTCATGATGGAATTAGTAGTACCCTTATAAGAAGAATGCTGCTTGCTGCTTATAAGAAAGCAGCTGCTTGCTGCTTTCTTCTCTCTGACATGTAAGGATACAAAGAGAAGATGGTCCCCTGTAACCAGAAAAAGTGCTCTTGCCAGACATGGAATCTGCTGGCACCTTGATCTTGGACATCCTAGACTCCAGAACTGTGAAAAATGTTTAAACCATCACCAGTCCACGGTAACTTGTTAAAGCAGTATAAACAGACTTAGACAGAAGCCCAGTGAAAGCATGGGATGTTTAGAATGATGAGAGCATGCACATATGAAGAGGTAAAGAAAAGCTGTATTACTCATATCATGGAATTTTCTGAACAGAACAGGACAGCACCTAAACTGGTCTAGAATTGGCTTGAACATCTTCAGAGATTGAGAGCCACATGACCCTGAATTTTATCACATTTAGTGTAGGACTAGGGAAGAATTCACTCCTGGAGTAATTTGAACTTTCCTGGGTACCAAGGGAAGACATACCCTGGCTTTCTTATCAGTTTGTCCAAATGTGGGCAGGAGAGAGAATAAAGTGGGGCTTGAAAGCTCTCAGCAATCAAAAATAAATTATATATATAAACAATAATTTATAAGTTATATATGATTTTTCTATATAGAGACAATTATACTACTAAAACCATCCAGATCCCCTCCTCTAGTCTACTTTGCTGAGCTATTACCCCTACTATCAATAACTATAAGAGAAACTAGAAAGCCTGGGATTTTTAAGATGTCTGGACTAATAATTCAGGCACAGATTAAAGGGTTGATATTAAGCAATCAAATGTCCCCATTTTTAATGCTGACGCAGATATGCAGATAGTAGGTATCTGAGGAAAGTGCCTATTGTAGAAAAAAAATTAAAACAAGACTGATCTCCCTTTCAAAATAGCCATCTTGAACAAATAAATCAGGAGGAAAGAATCAACAAATCCATTGAAGTATTATCTTCCTCAGAAATGAAAAAGTGCTGCATCCATAACAGAGGAAAAGGATGCCAAAAAACTAAGAGAACAGAGAAGAGTTCCTGGAATTGAGCATATAACAATAGAAGAGAAATCATTAGAGGGTTGGAAGATAAAGTTGAGGAAGATGCCTAGAAAGCAGAGCGAAGACAGAGACCAAGAATAGCATAAAAGATAAGAAAATTGAATAACAACTCCAGAAGTTTTAGAGGAAAAAAAAAAAGAGAGAAAAGAAACAGAACATAAAACAAAAGTATTCAAGAAAATTCCCCCAAATGACAGGAAGTTGTATTACTGAATAGAAGTAGATGACATTACCTATAAAGCCATTCCATTTTGAAATTTCAATGCACTACCAGAAAAGAAGATTCTACCAACTTCCAGGAAGAACAAGA